AAATGCCAGTAGTTTGTCTTATAAACTTGAACGTCTACTTTTAGTTTTTAGTTTACTCATAGTTAATTAAGAGAACCTGGTTATTTGAGATGGTTGCACCATTAACACTTGTTTTATTATGAAAATACAAAACCTGTACTTCCGGTTTTCTCTGCGGTCTGCGTGTGTAGCTGTGCACAAACAACTATGATTTTAGGTTTATGACTTACTGCAGCTGTTACCCCAATAAGACATCCTCTCAAATTAGTCAGATGTTTCCTCACATTAGGTCAGTCAGCTAAATTAAAATCAAACTCAGAATCTGAATACTTATTAATCCTGAGGGCAATGGTTTGGTAACAATCAATTAAAATATATATATATGAAAGACAGGAAATGTAACTGTAACTGTAACTGTAAGAAGAATGTAAACCACACAGCACAGATGACAGCACACAAGCATAAAACCTCCTGCGCATGAAATAATATATTTAAAGCCAAGAAGTCGGTAGTGAGCAAAATACGTGTCAAGTACATTCCAGGGACCTTAATCGTAAGCTGGGATAATATGTATTTAAAATGTTAATAATGTGTGTTTAAACGCCGAAGTGTCAGTTATACGTTTTGGTACCTTAGGCTGCTGCGTAAACTTTTGGTAGACAGGAGTGAGTTACCAACTGGTTTATTTTGATTAACCGTCCCCAACGATGTAGAGTTCCTACAAGCTTCATCCTGTTCCTAAATATACTTTAAAAAGTTATCTTGGTAGTTGTTGTTTGGGGTTTTTTTTTAATGTAAATAGTGTTGACTTTTTTTTATTAGTATTTTTTCCAGTCATGTCACAACACAATTTAAATCAGATATTATACCTAAAACATCGACCCGTCTATTTTCTTATACCAGTTTGAGGCAGGTTAACACACAGAGACAGACAACAGATAAAAAAAAAACAAGTGCTGGATAAACAGAACAGCTGTAACAAGGCTGGTTAAGGTAAAACGCTGTGCTGTGCTTGTAATGGAAGAAGAGCACTGTCCAACTTTGAAGTGATCTTAGTTCCTGGAAAATGAGCCATGTTCCTTTACTGAGAGTATTGGATCTGATTTTTGCAGCCTATTTTGTATTTAGGATCCCAAGGTGGAAACCGTTTCCTAAACAACAGGAACAATAGCATACACTAACAGTCATGTCAGACATTACTAACTGAGACTGAATTCAACGTTTCTTATATGCAGGAAGATTAAACTCTGATGTCACAGTTCAACCTGTCAAGGTCTAAATCATCTGATTGAAGACAACACTGATAATCTTCAGTTATGAATTTTATATGCTTTAAATTGTTATAGCATATATAGCTATATGCTCAAGTCAACCCTGCAACACAAAGCGCATGTGGCACGGCATCCATGCCATCACTAACTACAGGAAGACGACACCTGCCTGCCATGGTGACGCCTCCATACCAGATGCACTGAACAACTTCTGCACGGTTTGACGCTCAGAATGATGTGTTGGTGAGGAAGTCGAACCCCACTCCTGGACTTTCTGTCGGAGAGACCTCAGACAGTTCGGATCGGTAACAGCATCTCAACACCACTACACTGCACTTTCTTTAAAAACATAACACATTTTGGGATGAACTTAGGGCACCATGGCATCATCTGGCAGCAGATTTTTATCAAGAATGTCTTGGTATGTTTTTCCATTCATCCTTTAATTATTTGAAGTGTGACTGTAGCCTACTGCTGCTGAAATACTGAAAAACAGACACCATCATGTTCCCACCTCCAAAATTCACTGTTGATGCAGACTGAGCAACTTTCTGCTGGATGGTTTACTGTCTGGATTTTGGCCAAATGTATAATTGCCAGATTCTGATCCACTCTTCCTTTCCTGGTCCTCATTGTGAGTTGTTTTTTTTTTTTTAAATCATAGAAGCTGTGCAATACTGTACAGCAGATTAATGGGACAGCACTGCAGATGCTTTAAAACCTGCCATAGAATCCTCTGGTTCTTCAACATTAAAGTAATCCAGTGACAGTTATGCGTATTTCCACTGCTGTACAGCAAACAATAACTGTTAATAATTAATTTTGCAAACTTTATTTTTCAAACTGTAAACAAGTACGGTTTAAAAGAGCACTTCATAGCTGCATAAGAGTAACTCAGATTAACCAAGTAACCTAAAGTGTCCAGCAATCATATAAGGACCCCGTCCTACTTTGGGCTCCGCCTCCACATACGCGCGCGGGTTATTGAATTTACGCGCGAGGAATTTAATTCCGCCAGTGAAATGCAATTATTTGCTCAGATTATTATTATTATTTTCTCGTGCATTTGTTGTAACATAAATGTCATTCCATATTTGTCTCTTCTGGTTTCTCACCCATCTAAGGGGCTCGTCATCTCTGCCAAGTTCTAGTTAAAAGAAGAAGAACTTAATTTGAATGCTTAATAGGACTGTATGTTACAATCCTTAGAGTAATTAGCACAATCCTTGAGTGGGTTGGAAGCGGGGGAAGCACTCGAACTAATTCGAAGTTTCAAGTCATAATGCGACAACAGTCAGTTCCGACGCATCATGTTTCATTTCATCATTTCCTTGTTCTAACGCTTTTGGCGGCACGTTTTCCCACAACCATCTTCTTCACCGCGTTTTCATTCATCCATCCAGGGATACCCAGAAGAAGACGTTGTTCGACTCGCAGGTCAGCTCCGACTCGAGTGCTTTGTTTTTATTAGCTTGCTTCAACACAGCGTTTGGCTTTTGGATGTTAATTGTCGGTTTGGTTTTTATCGCATAAAGAATCGGAACACGTGTACTTGTTACTACTTAATGTATCGGTTACTCGTCGTTTAACTTGCTGGGTAAATTTAAATTCATCAAAACAATTAAAGTTGGGGTTAATTAAACTCAAACACAGCTTCCGTCGCTAGAATAACGAGACACATATATTTATTCAAAGTTAATATCACTTTAATGATCCATCCTCTAAAGTTTCTTTAGTCAGGCAGTTGTTACAGATATTTAAAAAAACAGCAATATGCTTTAATCCGTTGAACATGTATTATGTTCCTTTCAGTAGATTAAGAAATAAAGTAGAATAATGTGATAAGACAACATGTGGAGATGTGACGTTAAACCATATTAATGACGCAAGTCGATGTCTCACAGCCAGTCTCGGATGGACAAACCCTGCGGCATGGGGTGGCATGTGCCACACTACAATGATGTCTTGCCACCCTAGTTTTGCATATGACAGTGTTGTTTATTAAAATAAGATAGCATTAACACCTTTAACTACAGTTAACACGAAATATAAATTCTCAAACTGAACATATTGCATAGCGTTACCCCCCCACCCCTCCATCATTACCACGTGGTTCAGCCCCAATAGTGCGGACAGATGTTGTGCCAAAAAGTGTTGCCTGCCAAAAACTGATTTCCAATGTTTCCGTGTGTTTTTTATGTGTAATATCTTTACGTATGTTGGTAAATAGACTTCGGTGAACAAGGTTTACAACAGGGTTATATATAAAATGTATAAATTACCTGTTTGTCAAGTATCCTTATAACTCTGTGTTATTGTACTTACATTATAACCAATCCGGTCCTTTTTGTCCACTTGATTGTTACAGGGATGTTGTTTGTGGCCCATGATTACTTGATGTCATTCATGAGGGTCAATTTTGACACATGTTTTACATATTATAGACCAACAACTTATTTATAGCATTTTAAATATGAGCAATCCGTTTTTGTCAAATACGGGAAATCAGTGTTTGGCAGGAGATTACTTTTATCCCTGTGGTGTTCTCCTCTGTCTTGTGGCAGACAAACAAATTTTTACAGTCACAAATAATTTGTGGGGCAACTTATTGTGACACCTGACTGTTCTCTCATTTGAGTTATACTAGTATTTTTAAATGGTTGTACAAAAGAAACAAGAACAAAAAAAAGTTTCTGTTCCTGCAGTCAACAGAGCATTTACTCAGTCAGTACATGTGATGGAAACACATAATTTTAATCATTATTAAGGGTCTTCTATTGACATCCGCAGAGACGTGACAAACTATCAGGATGTCGAATGAAAAGAGTGCACCTGTTGACCGGTGAGTCTGATTCCTAGAGATATACACACATCTAAAAGGATCCTCCTTTACATTGGAGGATTCTTTTACACTGGTTGGCGCTTCTTCTCACTTGTATTTTGTTTTCACAGCGGACAGGCTGTGGCCCTGATTATCTTTGTGCTCGGTCTAGGAACTCTGCTGCCCTGGAATTTTTTCATCACAGCATCTAAGGTTTCATGTTCACGTCATTTTCCACATTTTTAGCAGCAGATTCTTTACTCTAAATTGAGACCATCTTGACTATGGTCTATCCCTGTATCACATGTTAGCACTGTTAACTTTGAAAATGAATTGTGTAGGTAGGCAGGTCAGTTTGTTTCAATGTATACATTTTAATTAAATGATTTTATTATTAAAATAATGAAATAATGATGATTTTACTTAAAAACTGCTTGTATTTTATTCTTATTTAGGATTTTCATGATACACTACTGAGAAGAAAATAAGTTAAAAAAACTTGTCTGCAATTTTGCACAGGGATTCAAATCATTCTTGTTCTTTCTGTGTTTATTCTGTTACTTGAATCTTTTAGCATGTACAGTATGTCCTTTTATAGTAAATTGCTTTTTTTTATCTTCCTCTTTAAGTATTTCAATGAACGTCTCAACTCAACTGGCACATCAGGAACTTCTCCCAAAGACTATAGCTATGACAGCTGGATGGCTTTGCTTTCCCAACTGCCACAGCTGCTGTTTACCCTTCTCAACTCTTTCCTGTATCAGCGGTGAGTGTTCAGAGCACTAAAACTGCTTGAATGGCTCTTCTAGATTAAGTTTGAGTCACAAGAACAAGACCTTTAACGTTTTTAAATCTCTAGGACGCCAAAATTCCATTTTCCGCAGTTCCACTGCTGACACTTCAGAGGCCATGTATCACTCTTTATGTGTAAGACAACATCATAACCATAATACAAAGATTCAATCTACTTTCCTAACTTTGTAAAAGGATAAAGATAAGAAATAATAGATCCAGAAACATAAATTTACTGAAATGTTATGAGTGACCCTAGTTTCTCATGCAATGGCAACATAACATGTTCATTTTAATAAATGCTTTCCAGCAAGTATTACACTGACTATAACTACAGTGAAATCCAAGACACAGTGAGGGAAAGCATTTTGGTCATCAGCTTTTCAGAGTTTTCATTGCACTTTTTCACAGTGGACTATTACAAACATAGAATAGATGCTGCCGCAAATTCTTCCAGACTTGACCCTTGACCCTCCCTCCATGATGTTAGCGTTCCAGGTGCGCTGTTGCAGATGGGTGGGACAGTAACAACAAAGAATTTACTTTCATTGAGTTTTTGAATTAGAGTTAATTATATGATTAATGTATTTATTTGTATTTGTTTTGCTTTAAGCAGTAGCAGTAGTAGTAATGTTAATGTTTTTTTCTTTAAACTGACTGAATGAACGAGCACATCTGCTCCAAATCTCTGTAATGTTGTTAGGAATTACTGCAATAGTCTGTAAGCATAGCTGGCTGGTACTGACAGAAATATGATGTCAATGTTAATAAAAGTTGAACCAAGCTGTCCTTAGTGGACAGGACAGGACCAGGTTTACCTGAAAACTAAAGAGTCTGATTATCTCCTCTGTTATCTGATGGTAATGAAGACATGTCTCTGTGCAGCGTGAGGGAGCGTGTTCGTGTGCCCTTCAGCCTGGTCGGCATCTTCCTCCTTTTCTCTCTCACTGCTGCTTTGGTCAAGGTCCCCATGGAGCCGGACAACTTCTTTTCCATTACTATGGCAACCATCTGGTTCATTAACAGTAGGTTCACTCAAACGATCCCATGACTGCAGTAACATTTTTACAGCTACAGATGAACTATGTAGCAGCTGTAAAATGTTTGTATCAGATCCCTAAATGTTACATTTGGCACTGGCAAATCACAACGTAGTTCAAACATTAAATTGTAAATACTTTTCAGGCTTATTGTCTTTATCAAAAATATGCCAAGAATTATAGTCTAAGTATATATATGTGTATGTATATATATGTAGACTATAATTATAGTCTAACTCATCATGTACCTTGTGTGAGTGCAGTGTGCGGAGCAGTGCTGCAGGGCAGTCTCTTCGGTATGGTGGGCCTCTTACCCCCTCGTTACAGCACTCTGTTCATGAGTGGTCAGGGCCTCGCTGGGATCTTTGCCGCCTTAGCCATGCTCTTCTCTATTTTAGGTAAGCATTGATCCTCCTCACAGGCAAAATGTATTTATTTTTTTATTTCATCGTTAGTAATCTAAATATACCAGTATCACACTGTAAAAAATGTAAAATTACTGGAGTTTGGAGGTGTAAATGAAGCTGTTTGCCTGCAGGTAAATCAGATCAAAGCTCGGCTGCACTGGGATACTTCATAACACCCTGTGTGGCTACTCTGGGGACTCTGGTATGCTACCTGCTGCTGCCACGCCTGGTATGGAGACACCACATAAAATCACTATCACAAAAGGACATGAAAATGACTGTTTTGAACTGAACTGAAAAATCTGTGTCATATATTAACTAAAAAAATGAATTGAATCATGTCAGTGGAAGAAAAGCCACATTACAGTCTTCTGAAAATGTTGACTCCTCTGCAGAAGTTTGCTGATTTCTATCTGAACAGACATCAGCCTGATAAAGTGGAGGAGGTCTTCCTTGAGAGCACAGGTTGGTTCTCATTAAGTATAATGAATAAAAATATGATTTTTTTCAGCGTTATGTAAGATAGCTGACATGTTAGCCGAGCTACGTTCAGTGTTAATGAGGCTTACAACTGATTCTTTTGATTTTTCCTTTCAAAGAAAAAAATAAAAAGGACCTGGAGGCAAACGGGAAGCTCAGTAAGCAAGAGGAGAATCAGGAACATTCCTCAGTCCTGGCTGTCTTTAAGAAGGTGAACGTTAGCTTTGGTGTCCATTTTTTAAACTTCTTCTGCTAGCATTGACTAAACCCCTCAAACCTCCTCTGTTGATCACAGTAACATGTTTTAAACTGTTTAGACTTTTGCTTACATAGAGACGTACTGGTCCGCGGCTCCAAATCTAACAACCCAAAATTGTTATGATGGCGCAGTCTAATGTAATAGTGGAAGCTGGCTCTGAGAGGTTGTACAAAGTCTTCTATCAAAGAGCTGATACACTTTTGCTAACCTCAGATGAAAAATGTTCCTCGTGTAGTCCTGGAGCTTATCTTCACACGCGTTCCCAAATGCCTCCTTACTGGAATCACTGACTAACACCTTCCTGTGTTTCTCAGATCTGGCTGATGGCTCTGTGCGTGACGTGTGTCTTTGCTGTTACCCTGTCGGTGTTTCCTGTCATCACGGTGCGAGTAAGGACTGTCTACGACAATGATGGATGGGGTAAGACATCATTACAGCATTACTGCAGACTACAGAAGCATCTGGTTGACCATATGACTCCAGAGCAGGTTATGTGTTCAGCACAAGTTTGTGTAATGGTCTAACCAAGTTAAAGAGAAAGAGAAACCCTCAGGCCATTGAAAACTTTCTGCAAAAATTCCTCGCTCACCGATGAATTCTTCCTTATAGTCCACCCTCTGCTTCCTCTTCCTAACAGACAATGTGTTCACCTGTGTCTGCTGCTTCATTGTTTTCAATGTCATGGACTTGGCCGGTCGCACAACCCCATACATCGTCCAGTGGGTGAGTCTGCGGCCTGCCTTCTTCAAACATTTTTGTTTCTAAGATAGAAATCAACAAACCAATCGAATATTGTTTCGTGAGGACTGGAGGTGTTTTTTTCCACTTCAAAGGATTCCTGTGGAAAACGGCCTTTACTGAAGGATTTCAATAAATACCATTTTGATTATGAAAGCAATAAAAAAAAATGTTGTTTTAGTATTGGAATTTTTACAGTGTCCATAGTCTAAATATATTACTTAAATAGTTTGATAGCATCGTTATTAGTTATTAGTTATTTACAGTTACATGTGTCCACATTATAGACAATATAAGCACGGTTATTTTGTTGCATGGTTATTGTGATGTGAAACAATAACAGATGAAATCCACAAACTTTATAGTTTAAAGTCCAGACTTTTGCCACAAGTTGAAACTGAGACTCAGTGAGGCTGCGTCTTGCTGCTAGATCATCTTAAATCATGTGATTTGGAAATGCAGGCGTGTCTACTGACTCCAGAGGACTGATAGCTGAAATCCACACAGCACTCATTGAGTCGTTATGTTACACGTAATCTGACTTTGAAGTTGCGATGTTACAGATAACTTCAGTGACTGATTTCTGTATGTTTTTGTGCAGCCGTCGAAGGAGAGTCGTTGGTTTCCTGCCGTCGTGTTTTCTCGCCTGGTCTTCATCCCTCTGGTCATGTTATGTAATGTCCAGGACTCTAAACTCACCGCCGTCTTCCGCCACGACTGTGCCTTTGTCGTCATCATGGCTCTGTTCGCCTTCTCGAATGGATACCTGGCAAGCCTCTGCATGGCCTACGCTCCACAGTGAGTCCTCAATAGACCCCAATTTTTAAAAAATCCCTCTATAAGATATAAACTGCTCTTTAATGATGTGACTTAGTTTGTGTGCTAACACGTGAAAACTTCCACGACTTGATTACAATGAGGCAGATGTGATGGAGCTTGAAGCACAAGATAAATCAATACTGTACTGATCCCACGAGGAACGTGATTGTGTTACAGCAGCAGCATAAGGTCAAAGTGCCACAGGTGCATAGTGAGGGACTTTTACTGTGTGAGAGTGAGAAGAAAATCTCTCTATAAAACAGTAATCTAAAATAAAAAATAAGAATGAGAAAATTTCCATTGGAGTTTTATTTGATTTGTTTGAATATTTAAATTAAATTAAGCGTTTGTACCTGAAAGTAGGTGAAAACTGAATCCTTGCTTCACTTTAACAAACTCAAGAATTACAGACACAAGAAGCCAGTCACAGCTCTGAGTCCCCACATGTTGGGCACATGAGCTACGCATAAAATGTAACATAGGATTTATTTCAGCCGAAATAAAGAAATAACTCTGCCAAAGGTGCAGACCGCCTACTTTATATGGCACCTTATATGTATGTTACCACTGACTGAGAACACTACACCCACTGACACATGCACACCATTCCTGTGTTTCTTGTGAAACATGTCATTCAAGTCACAGACTTCAGTGGAACAAAACAAAGACATTCAGCACAATTTTCTGGCTGAACAAAACCCAAGAAGAAGAAGAATGTCTTGTGGCACCTAGTGGCTGGATGGTGCAACTGCAAAATCTTTTGGTGTGAATTTTGAACAGGGTCAGGGAAAGTTCCCTCTAAGCTGCGCGCGTGCGCACTGCTGACACGGTCTCTGCGCACAGAAAATCTGTGTTGTGCACAAAAAAGAAAAAAATTTAACCGGAATTGAAATTAAAATTAAAACTTTAACAATTCTGTTTTGCAGTGTTAGTAAGTGACTGGCTGCTCCCATATGGTAAATGGTAAATGGCCTGTATTTGTATAACGCTTTACTTAGTCCCTAAGTACCACCAAAGCGCTTTACACTACATTCAGTCATCCACCTATTCACACACACATTCACATACTGGTGATGTCAAGCTACATTGTAGCCACAGCTGCCCTGCGGCGCACTGACAGAGTATGGGGTTAGAATAATGCCACCTT